GCCATACTTTCAATGTCACATGATAGCTATGGTGACCACCATTCCCCTGCAGAATATACTTGATAAGCCCGACTTTCGGGTAGGCTGGCCAAATGGGCCGTCGAAATGAGTGAATTTGACATAGAATATAAACCTAAGACTGCGATTAAGTCATAAGTTTTGACCGAATTTGTGGTCGATTTCAATCCGGGATTGCTGCCTCTAGCAACCAAAGAAGCAGTGATGGTATCGGAATTGACATCAGGAGTTTAGACCCTATTTAAGGACGGAGCTTCCAACGTAAAAGGGTCTGGGCTTGGCATAGTATTAACCACGCCTTCAAGAGAAACCCTAAGGCAGGCCATAAGAATGATCCCTTTGAAATCAAATGTGACTCCTAGCTGGTGGTAAATCAGGTCTACGGGATCTTCGAAGCCAAAGACGAGCGCATGCAATAATACGTAATAAAGTTTCAGGCTCTGCTTGCTCGATTCCGGGAGTGGCCAATTACGCATTTCCCGAGGGAAGAAAACTCGAAAGTAGATGAATTAGCTAACCTTGGCTCATCAACAGATATGAAGGGATCGGATTCGGTACGGTAGTACAACTTATGCACTCGGTTCTGGACGCAGATAGTTACTACTTGGTAAACATGACTAATTTGATGTGGGGCTGGAGGAGTGAGATCATTGATTATCTCGAGCATGAGAAGTTGCCTGAAAATCCCTTAGCATCCTAGGCGTTGCACGCTAAAGCAGCACGATATAGCTTCAAAGGAGGCCAATTGTACAGGAAATCTTTCCAAGGCCCTCTGGACCGATGCTTGGGAGCCTCCAAAGCTTATTATGTTATGCGGGAAGTCCACGAAGGAATATGAGGAAATCATTCGGGTGCAGATTCCCTAGTACTAAAGTTGGTAACGAAAGGATACTACTAGCCCCGAATAGAACAAGATGCCTAAACTTTTGTTCAAAAACGCGATAAGTGTCAACGCTACACACCATTGGTACATCAACCAGCTAAACCATTGCACTCAGTTTTGTCTCCATGGTCGTTCATGAAGTGGGGAATGGATATCGTCGGACCACTGCCGTCGGACCCTGGTAAGGCAAGGTTTCTTTTGATTTTAACTGACTATTTTTCTAAATGGGTTGAGGCGGGTCCTTATCAGAAGATTGGTGAACGTGAAGTGGTGGATTTCTTGTAGGAGAACATAATTTGTAGATTTGGGATAACCAAAGAGATAGCGTGCGACAACGGGCCACAATTTATAGTCGCAAAGGTCACGAAGTTCCTTGAAGACTTGAAAATCAAAAGGATCGCATTTTCGCCCTATCATCCGAGCGCAAATGGTTAAGCAGAGTCAACGAACAAAGTGATTATACAAAATCTCAAAAAGAGATTGAAAGCAGTAAATACAGATGGACCGAAGAACTGCCCGGAGTACCATGGGCATACCGAACAACGGCCAAATCGAGCATAGGAGAGACTCCTTTCTCCCTTGTGTACAAAGCAGAAGCCTTGATCCCGGTGGAAGTAGGGGAGCCTACCTTTAGATACTTCCAGGCGAAGAAGAAGCAAACAACGAAGCAATGTTAGTTAATTTGGAGTTGCTCGATGAGAGCAAAGAGTTGGCGCATATAAGGATGGCAGCTCAAAAGTAGAGAATAAAGAGATATTATAATCGAAGAACCAACCTCCGTTATTTCAAAGTGGGAGATTTGGTTCTAAGAAAAGTTACTCAAAACACCCGGGAACTCAATGCAGGGAAGCTAGGCCCCGAGAAGAACCACTTGCACCCGAAGCAGGCCTAGAGACACATGTTCGGGTAAACGCCTCCTGAAGTAGCCTCGCCGCATCAGCAGGATCAACCAAAACGTCCTCCTCAGGGACGATAACCGAGCCCTAGGGTAGACCTGTATTCAATAGGAAAGAAGAATCAAACAACTTCCTTATGAGAAAAGGTAAAAACAAGATGAGTTCAACTTACCATGATTTTTGGCCTTCCACCCGTATTTCAGGGACAACTCTTTCCACGTGCGGGTTTCGGCCGTAGTAACGACCAAAATTTTCAGAACCCATTGGTCCAAGCCCTCAACCCTAGGGGGAACCCACCGAGTCGTTGATACAGGTAAAGGAAGAAAAGTTAATAATGATAAGGAATGATCTTTACTAGAAGAAGAAACAAATGATAGACTTACAAGTGCAGTTCCATAATTCTAGGGAAGCCGGAGCCGAGGCCGGAATGATGTCATAGGTGGCGACTGAAATGAACCGTTCCATCCATCCACGGTCGTTATCATCATCCATACTGGATAGCAATACATGGTGGCCTTGTTTGCTGAAGTTAATCATTCCCCCACGGAAGATCTTGGGGGAAGAGGTTCATCACGTGAGTTAGGGATAGCTCCTCTCCCGTTTCTTGGCACAGGCATCGAAAACAAGCAGTCGTCCTCCACACAGAAGGAATCGCTTGTTCCAAACACACCTGGTAGCGGAGGCAGAACTCCACAATGACGGAGTCAAGATCTCCACTCAGAGAAAATGCTCCCAAAGTGAAGGAATACGTATAGAAATACGTGAAACCCTTCTTGGGTAAAGTTACCCGCTCCGCCATATCAGGAGTGATAATGTCTAAATCCTAGCAATGTCAATCTTCCTTTATAGCAGGAATACTGGAAGGACGGATAGAACAAGGGTATCTGCTAACGGCCCATGTACAAGGGTTAGCAGAAGAAATTTCTCTTCGAAGTCTTTAGTTGTGACGAGACTTCTGGGAATGATGGTACTTACCGTAGGAGGAGAAGCCTCATCGTCTTTGCCTTTGTTCTTTGAGGAGTTAAGGTTTTAAGAAGAAGAAGTCATTCTATGTTAGAGAAGAAGGAAATGTTTTTCTCTAATGAAAGAAAGGTTGAAGAACAGAGTACGAGTTGAATGAATAGTGTGTGAGAGAGTTTGAAGAATTATGAGGTGTGAATGAAGGAGCTTGATGCGTATAAGTGAAGAAATAGGCGGCTAAAATCGTGGTCATACTTACCTCGATAACCGGCAAAACTAATGCTAAATCATGGGATGACGCTTGTTCGGGGCATTAAATGCGGAGAGACGTGCATCTAATCAACCGTCAGAAACTTTTCATAGGGGGCCAGTAAATTTTCCGCCAAAAAGAATGTTTCTACCAACTTTCCGGTGACACAAAGTTATGCCACCGGAAAGCAAGGGGACTATCTGTATGGGGTAAAATATGTTATATTAAATGATCGCATGAGAAAGTGACATGTTGAGTCGAAGATAAAGGATAGCTGAAACCGAAGGCAACGATCTCGTCTGTTACCGGAGAGAATGATACTCATAAAGATGAAATAAATGTCTGTCACCCGGTAGCATTTAATGAAAAATATTCTACAAATTTAGTACAATGCTCGTTACAAAGAATATGGCATTCATGCCCACTGTTACACATTCTTCAATGGCCCTCATGATTGNGAAAATATTCTACAAATTTAGTACAATGCTCGTTACAAAAGAATATGGCATTCATGCCACCGTTACACATTATTCAATGGCCCTCATAATTGACATTAAAGAGGGGCTTGATCCTAGGACCTTGTTCCCTGTGTGCAGCTATAAATAGTGATCTTTATTATCATTGTAAAGGACAAAACTAATTTTTTACACCAAAAACCTGTTAAATCTTAATTCTAGGACAAAAGAAAATTTATTCGTAGCTGATATTTATAACTTTGTGACGTATGTAAGCTCGAGCATTAAACAATAGTTGAATGATGTTATTCACAATTTGGTTTGTAAATCCTAAAGTTATATTCTTGGGTATGTTGTAATAACTTAAAAGTAAATATTACAGGTAGGGCAGTGCGTAATATAGTATTTAGTATGCAGTATTTGATATGGTATTTAGTTTAAATTTTTTTTTTATATGGTATTAGATATTGTAGTTAGTATTTAAAAATATTGATACTGTACCGAAATATAGACTAAAGTCTAAAGTTACACAATGCACATATTAGTGATTATAACATACTAAGTTACACAATACTTTTCTTTGGCATTCATATTGAAGTTGGTAGTCCTTATTATACTGTCTAAGTTCAGCAACTAACTTTTAACAAGTAACAAAATATTTTTAATAATCAAATTTATTCTGTTATGTATCTTTTTTCTCTCTCTATATATTGATTTTGGACAAAGATTTTATAATAGTTAGGTGAGCTTAGAATATTTTTATATTTATATTTATGAGTATCTTGTTTAGTGAGAATATTACAATATGTCGTTGTACGCATTAGTTAATATTCAAGCCGAACAAATCGAATTTATCATATCGAACAAACTGAAATCGAAAGGAAAAAAGGCCGAACCATATAGAATTTAATTATGTACAATATTAGTATTTTAAGAAAGCAAATACCTAAAATATACTCCCTCCGTTTCAATTTATGTGAACATATTTCCTTTTTAGCCTGTGCCAAAAAGAATGACCACTTTTTTTATTTGGAAACAATTTACATGTATGCAATGATTTATAGTCAAACAAAATATATGTGCTTCATTTTACACCACAAGTTTAAAAGTCTTTTCTCTTTTCTTAAACTCCGTATCCAATCAAATAGATTCACATAAATTAAAATAGAGAAAGTAAAACAAAAATATCTAAATATCATACCGATTGACGAACACCCTAATTACAAGGTGCTTCCGGGACATCTGATAAAAAAGTATAGAATGGAGTATATATTATAGGGACAAAATGGTCATTGAAATTCCAAAGAGTCGGTTACAAAAATACAAACTCGTTCGCTTCAATGATAAAACCAGACCAACTGATTACAAGGTGTTCAACACACGTGTCAGATTCTTATTGCCAACTAGATCAAGCAGATTTGTATACACCCATGAAAACACGCCACGTGTCAAACCAGAAAACACCTCACGCTGGCTGCTAAAAAGACATTATTACCCTTAAACCAGCTATAAATTCATGTCCATAACCTCAATTCTAGAGAAATTACATTAACCAAATACACAGAATCTTCAATATTCTGCAAACCCTAAAAAAATCCCAATTTCTTTCCAATTTTTGGAGAGTGAAATCCTATTTAGGGAATGCAGAGAGATGATAAGAAAATCCCCATTTTCTGATACCCTTTTAGGAGGCTGTAAGCCCCAAATTTCCCTCGCCGGCGGCCGGAATTGCCACCGGAAACACGTCAATCTTTTTTCTGAAGGTTCTTGAACCCACCCAACCACCCCCCATATATACCCCTCAATCTTTTTTTGAAAAAACAAACACCCTTTTCAGTCTTGAGTCAGAAAAGTTGCTCAAAAAACAATCTTTTTTGCAAAACTAACACCCTTTTCAACCTTGTGTTCAAAAAGCAGGTCTTTTTTGCAAAAGCTGACACCCTTTTCAACCTTGTGTTCAAAAATTAGGTCTTTTTCGCAAAAAAATAAATACCCTTTTCAATATTTGCTTCAAAAAAGCAATCTTTTTAGCAAAAACAAACATCCTTTTCAGTCTTTTTCTAATGGGGCCAGAAGAAAAGAATGGAGTTTTGTACGGAAAATACGAGCTGGGACGAATTTTGGGTCAAGGAACTTTTGCAAAAGTGTACCATTCGCGTAACGTGGTAACAGGGGGAAATATAGCCATGAAAGTAGTAGGGAAAGAAAAGGTGATAAAAGTAGGAATGATGGAGCAAATCAAACGAGAAATCTCCGTTATGAAAATGGTGAAACACCCAAATATAGTTGAGCTTCACGAGGTTATGGCCAGTAAATCAAAGATTTACTTCGCCATGGAATTTGTTAAAGGCGGTGAATTGTTCGCGAAGGTTGCCAAAGGGAGGTTAAGGGAAGATATAGCACGTGGCTATTTTCAGCAATTGATTTCGGCTATTGATTTTTGTCATAGCCGTGGAGTTTATCATAGGGATTTAAAGCCTGAAAATTTGTTATTAGATGAAGAAGGTAATCTTAAGGTAACTGATTTTGGGCTTAGCGCGTTTTCGGATCATTTAAGGCAAGATGGTTTGTTACATACAACATGTGGTACCCCTGCTTATGTTGCACCTGAAGTTATTGGTAAAAATGGCTATAATGGTGCAACAGCTGATATTTGGTCATGTGGTGTAATTCTTTATGTGCTTATAGCTGGTTTTTTACCATTTCAAGATGAGAATATTATGGTTATGTATAAGAAAATTCATAGTGGTGCTTTTAAGTGTCCACCGTGGTTTTCATCAGATGCAAGAAAGTTGATAACAAGAATGTTGGATCCGAATCCGAGTACTAGAATTACTGCTTCAAAGATTATGGATTCCTCTTGGTTTAAAAAATCTGTGCCAAAGATATTGAAGACTAAAGAGGAAGAAGAATTTGGCGTAGGAAAGGCGAAAACTATTGAGTCTTTAAATGCTTTTCATATCATATCTTTATCGGAGGGGTTCGATTTGTCACCTTTGTTTGAGGAAAAGAAGAAGATGGAGAAGGAACAATTGAGGTTTGCAACAACAAAGCCAGCTAGTAGTGTGATATCAAAGCTAGAGGAAGTGGCGAAGACGACGAAATTCAGTTTAAAGAGGAGTGATTCTAGTGTTAGATTGCAAGGGCAAGAGAGTGGGAGAAAAGGGAAATTAAGAATTGCTGCTGATATATTTGCTGTGACACCTTCATTTTTGGTTGTGGAAGTGAAGAAAGCAAGTGGTGATACATTGGAGTACAACCAGTTTTGCAGCAAAGAGCTTAGGCCAGCTCTTAAGGATATTCTTTGGACATCAGCACCTGAGAATTCAACTCTTGCTTGAGTTACTAGAAGCTATAGATTCATGTGTTAGAGGATTGAATTTGTTTAGTTTTGTTCTTGTTCTTGTTTTTAGATGTGCTTATTGATATTGAGACTGAATTTGAATTATGTGTCTTGAAATGAAACTAGGCTGAATTTGTTTAGTTTTGTTCTTGTTCTTGTTTTTAGATGTGTTTATTGATATTGAGACTGAATTGAAGTATGTCTCTTGAAATGAAACTAGGCTTCTGATGTTGCATCTTTTGATAGTTCCTTTATTCCAATTGTGTTTTCTTGAAAATGTTTGTTTGTTTTTGTGTTTGCCGTGAAATCACCGCTAACGCGTATTTTAGGGTAGGTTGCTTACATCACCACTTTTTAGGGTGTGCTACTTCCAGGGATCCCGCATAAATATGAGATACTTTATCCATCTTTTTAGTCAAGGTTGTAAGTATGTTTGCAGCTTGCAAAAATAGGATTGGCATTCTTTGAGAATTGGGTGCATATCTTCATTTTTTAACCACCACAAAAAAGATGTTATTTTAATAAAATATCAACTGATTTCTTCTTTGGCAGGCTATGGCCTGATAATTGAATAGTGTACCTTATCCCCTTATACTACTTGGCTATTTTTGATTGTGTGATATTTAAGAATGACTCTTTTCAATTTGATTGTAAGATGAAAGGATCTCCTGATTGTAAGAAAATGAATGAATGTCGGGCTTCTGACGTTTCACCATTGAGGTGATGTAGCCCCACGTTTCGGACAGAAATGAAGCCAGAATTTTAGTTTTATACGCTTTGAATTTTAGAATGATGAATTTAAGTGCTAATAATTAAGTTTTAAATTTAATATTTATATATATTTAATAATTTTTTAATATTCTAACCTTGTGTCAGGACCTACGGGTCGAGGGACAGTCTCAGATAGACAGTTTCTATGGGGCGTAGGCCTCCCAAAAAGGCAATATAGGATTGCAAAGGTTTTCACCGGACGGAAATTGGCCCTCGAGTGCAAAGGCAGAAGGGAGCTTGAATGCTTTTTCTCCTATTTATTGTGGAGATGAAAAATTAAATTATCACTATATTTATTTCTTTTTCTACTTCTTCCAAGTGCAGGACAACACCAAGGGATTGTGAATTTTTCTACCAATTGGGGCTCTCCCTTCGCTTCCAATAGACCTGCTAAAGCCATGAACCATAGCGTACTTAGTACTGGTGCCACAGAGAGATATGTTTTTAAATTTCCCATTGAAAAACCTCCTTCTTTTGCATTATTTGTTGGAATAAGCAATATATATATGATTAAATTATATTATTTAAGTAAAAACTACAGATTCGGCAACTAGGCTTCTAGCCCTGCCTGTTTGAAACTTGATCATAGCAAACCAAAAGTTATGAACTTAAGTGTGTGTATTTTTGTTGAAATGAAATGAATTTTAATCTTTTTATTCATTATTTATTGTGGGGCCTATCTTCTAGTAGTACTAATAGGAGTCCTCCACATGATTAGTCACAAGATCCCTTTACCCCAAAGTATGCTTATTCAGAACAATTATTACATCGTATTGTCTATGAACTAGAAAATCAAGATGGATACGTTAATCATTTTCTTAAGACTTAAAAAATGTGTATTAAATATAATAATAAGGTAAATAATTGTAAGGACGGTAGTATATACAGGCACTAACTCCAAATATAGTGATATTTTAAGATTCTAGGTGACCAATTCTTTAAATAAAATGTATAATTAGACAAGTTTATAATCTTTAAATACAACATATTTAAATACATCTTTGAGATATCATTTGAGTGAAAAGACAGTAGCACACTTCCATGTGGATTTCACAAGAATGCTAGGTAGAATTCGTGATTATTAAAATACTAATAATGACTCAATTATATATTTAAGTTGAACAATCCTATACTAGCTACCATTTATTATGGATCTGAATATATTTGGATTATTTTTTTAAATCTAGAAGTCGGACATAACAAGTGCATATTGCAATTTGTCAAACCTCTCTAGAACAATCTTATTTGTCCCGATATTTTTTTCCCGTTACAGTGAAATTGTTGTTACAAAAGATGGTTGTTATAGAGAGACTAAAATAGGGTTAGCGTAAGAAGAGCTTTTGCAAGAAGGCCGTCGTTCTCAGATGGGCAGATGGAGCTGTTAGAAAGAATTACCGATCATCGGGAAGAGAAGGGGAATGAATCTATTTTTTGGGGGTGAATAATCACTCTTGTCGCATCTGGAGTTGTAGATAGTAAGGGGAATCGCCTTTCGAGTTAGAAAAAATACGGTTGTAAAAGTGAAAAGAACTCTAAATGTATTTTCACTTGAAACATAAACATGAAAAATCACTAAAAATTTAACAACTATTATATTTTGAACTCATAATTTCAAGAGTTCAATGTGCTTAGAGTTAAAAACTTTAAATATTGAAAATTGTGAATCCTGAATTCACGTCTATATAACGTAATGAAACTAGGAAATAAGAAATAGATGGAGCAATTCGAACTCTCAAGAGAATATAAAAGAGGACCACAGACGTGTAAACACCTCCAAACAAACTCATGTGGATACTACTTAGCCCGAGGACAATCTCTCAAAATCACATGTTGATGCGGTTGACCCGTTTTCCTTTTCTTTATTGATTTCTCTCAATGCAATTTTCTCATATGAATTTATATGACAAGGTACTATGCACACCTATTGAAGAAGAGGTGAAAGTTGGCCTACAACAGTCCTCTGCATTTGAAAAACTTGACAACATGTTTCTTTAGGATCAAACATGGGGTACAAGGTTTCTGCTTAGGGCTGCTTCTATTCGCACCCGACCAATGGGATAAGGTCTCTCCTGGTAAGGGCACAACGTTTATTTACACTTCAATCAGAACAAGGCATCATCGGAAGCTTCAGTGACAAAACATAGACAAGAACAGCAATCACCATAAAATTCACCGTGGCAAGAAATAGACGGTTACAAATATGTCAACTGTAACAATAGCTCAATTACAAATGTATGATATTCGTAGTATGCAAGTAAAGAACAAAACTTTATCATAAAGCTTTTCAAAAGAAGGAAAATGAGATTACTACAACCAAAACTGAGCAGACAAGTAACATTTAGTGGTTCTGGTAGGTAGCTATTAGTTCATATTACACAGTATTTTCCCTCTCTATATCACTCCGAATACTCAACTTCAGGTGAAAACCACCAACAATTACCGTAAGAGCAGCTACAAACGTCTATTACTTTATAGATTTGTTCTCTCAAGTGATAGTTGCTATAATTCTCGCAGTTCTACTCCTATCAACATGTTCACTTCAACGCCTAAACTAACTTGGCTGTAATACGCATGTAATCGATGACAATATAAGTGTGCAGGTCTTTCAATAGGTTCCCAATTCCCATGCTGAGAGAATTTTATGAAATTGCAAACCTCTAAAATCTATCAACAAGTAGTTGCAGCATACTAACTACAAAAGCTTAGATGACGTCAAAAACCTTAAAATTGGTAGACGGTGAGAATCAAACAGTCGGACAAGGATAAGTAACAGAAAAGGCAGGGATCACTTACCTAATCTCGTATAGAAGCAAAGGCGGCCAGAACTGCAACCCTCAACTTGAGCGCTTCTTGCCAATACATGAAAATTGGGGTAGATGGACATTAGACCATATTGAAACTAAATAATCGGTAACCTTGTATACAACTACTTTTTTTTTGCTTTTTAAATGAACTACTGAGTAACCTTGTATACAACTACCAATTTTTTTCCCTTGGGGAGGATAAGGAGGGGATTTGGTGGGGGAAATTAATAGACAAGATCTAGGGAAGTACTGAGTTATTTTCTGCATGTGGTCGCCAAACAACACTACATTTTTCCATCAAATGAAGATCATATCATCTCTTGTTGTTTCCAGTCCTGAAGCAACATAACGTATAGCCTATAGAAAAAGTGGAACGAAGGTGCCCCATCGTCAAACCAGATTGCGATAGGATGCAATTTCTACAAAGCATAACATTCCACAAAATCAGATATGAACTCATTAAACTAATTGTACAACTGGTCTCAACAATCATATGTTAACTCGCCAACAGACCATAATCTCATTCACAATAACATTCCCCCATATGTGCATCAACTTCCATTTCTTTTCCAAACACCATAAATGATAATACAAGAACATTTTGTAATCTAGTTTTACATGGTTGGATCTTTTAGTCAACTTGTTTTACCGCTGAAATTTACAGCTGGTTACTCAAAGCATGAACAGGAAATGGTTTTGTGTGTCTCTCTTTCATGCAGTATCGATCAGCAATTACAGCATGATTTCATGCAGTATCGATCAGCAAACATCTATTTCTTTCTTTGAACTTCATAAAACATATATTTTGTTCTTTTCTTTTGTGCTTATACTTCCATAGAAAAATGGAAAATTCAGGAACATACATGTAGATCGGGAAATCCAAAAGAAAAATTCCATTTGATATATTCAGTAAGATTTGTCATCAGTGTGGAGGAATGTAGAATCTTTTCTAAAAGAGAAAGAAAAGAAAAGAAAACTTCTCTTTGCAAAAGGATTCATTCATGGTATTTCAAAAAAATTGAAAATTCCATGTCCGAATTCACACAAGAAATACAGTTGACTTGACACCGGTTCTAGCAATCACAAGAATGGCAATTAAGAGCTCCTAACAAATATTAATAGGTTATTTCTCGAGTTTATTATAAGCTATTCTTCAATAAAAACATTTTGAGCTTTAGGCCAATTACCCAATTCCAAATATCATATTAACTTGAAGAATTGGGAAAATAAGAATTTTTATTTAATTTTGATAAGAACGGCAATTAAGAGCTCCTAACAAATAAGTATTAATGAGTTATTTCTCGAGTTTATTATAAGCTATTCTTGAATAAAAACATTAAGAGCTTTAGGCCAATTACCCGATTCCAAATATCACATTCACTTGAAGAATTGGAAAAATAAGGATTTTTATTTAATTGATAAGGTAAGGAAAGTGAGAATTTCATTTTGATTGTAAAAATATCCACGCCAAGAATAGAGTGTTCTCGCACAATGTTCGAGATGATCATCTAAATGCTAGAAGGCTGGTGTAGAATACCAGTCATGGCTATGGCAGACAAGATTTTTCCCATTTAAATTTTGGTAACTTGAAAGTTTTAGCTAAAGAGAAGAAAGCGACCGGCTTGACTCTTCACTTCTCATCCGAATCAACTTTGTGAAGGATGTCTTAGGAAAGCAAGTAAAATAAAACTTTCCAAAGAGAAACCTCTTCAAGATCCATCAAACGACTCCAATTTGTTAATGTGGATTCATGTGAACCAATCAAGCCATCATCTGATTCTATATCCAATTATTTCATGCTATTTATTGAGAGTTGTTAAGACTTGAGTACATTTCTTTAAACAACTGAATGAATTGTAGTATTTCATAAGTTAAGGATCGAGTAGATGAGGGAAGCTATACATTGAAAGCCTTGAGAATTGATAGAGATGGTCAATTCACATCTCATGAATCGGAAGAGTGTGATTATCAAATAGCATGGCATTTTTAAGTTTTTCAAAAATAGTTAGTTGGAGTTGTTTTTACAAAAGAAATTTAGGAGACCTTCATTTGAAGCTTTAGACACTGAGTATGCAATCTCGGTTGATGATATTCTAGAAAAGTGTCAAACTCTTCTGCATGCTCAGTTTTTTGGAAAACTTCAAACAAATACCACCTACTGTTCCGAGGCCACCTCAACATTGAACATAAGAATAAAACCTCTTCATTATGGTTCAAACAACAACAACAACAACAACACAGTATAATCTCACTAGTGGGGTCTGGGGAGGGTAGTGTGTACGCAGACCTTACCCCTACCATGAGGTAGAGAGGTTGTTTCCAATAGACCCTCGGCATCCTTCCCTCCAAGAACTCCCCACCTTGCTCTTGGGGTGACTCGAACTCACAACCTCTTGGTTGGAAGTGGAGGTTGCTTATCATCAGAGCAACCCCTCTTGTCTTCATTATGGTTCAAAGTATACCATAAATAGAAAGAAGATGCCTCAAGAGTTTTAGGCAGAAGCCGCTAAATGTGCCATGTAGTTTTTCAATCTTAGCCCTACAAAACTTACCATGGNGAGGAGCCTAGTATTTCTGACATGTGGATTTTCAGAAGCCCTGCTAATGTTCATATTCCTCATAAGAAACAAACTAAACTTGAAGCAAAGAATGGGAAGCTTATCTTCATCAGATATGATTAATTAGCTTCCAATCCCACCAATGGAAATATGTTATTGATAGATATATGGCATTTGACAAAGAAGGCTCGTGCAATTGGAATGGATCTTAAAATGATAAATATGATTTATTTCCTACAAAAGATGGCGAAGAAGAAAGGAACATGTTGCTACTCCTCCTTCATCACCTCAATAATAGCAATCACCACATGATAGCTTTTCTGAAAAAGCACGGCACACGAAAGATTTAAAGATCTTCATGAGGAAAGAGAGGTAATAGAAAATCCAACTCTTTTCATCTCTTTCTTGGCTCTGAGCCTCTTTATTTTGAAGAAGCAATGCAAGACAAGAAATGAAGACTAGCTATGTTGAGAAGATCTAAGCAATTCAAAAGAATAGCACATGAGAGCTCACAAAACATCTAGAAGGTCTAAAGGAAATTCGTATCAAGTGTACAAAATTGAAGAGACATACACAAGCAAAAAGAGAAAAGGTAGAAGGCTGGCAAAAGGCCATAGCAAAAACAAAGCATCGACTATAATGAAGTTTTTGTTCCTGTGACTTATCGATGGATGATAGATGATTCATCAAATGGATGTTAAGTCTTAATTTTTTAATGGCTAACCTTGCGAAGATGTTTCTATTCGACAACCTATGAGCTGCATAATCAAAGGGCATGAATATTAAGTTTTGAAATTGATTGAGACCTTGTATGGCTTCAAACATTTCCAAGAACACAGATTTAAACTTTTACCAGATACTTATGAGCACACTCTCTTATGTTAAAAAGGATATAAATGGAGGTATTTCCTTTGTTAATATATTGATGACTTACCTTTACCGACAATAACTATAAAATGTTTGATGAATTCAAGTGGGCGATGTCACGGGAACTTGAGATAAGTGACAATGGTCTCATATCTTCTTATCTTAGCATTAAAGGGAAGCAATGTGTTGATCGCATTTTATATCACAAGAATCTTATGCAAGCAAGATGCTTAAGAATTTTAGCATGCAGAAAAGCAAGTCAGTGAACACCTCGATTCACTAGTGGAGAAAAATTATCCAAGTTAGAGGAAGGTCAGAGAGTGAAGTCAATTCACTACAGAATTATTGTCGAAAGTTTGAGATTTTGATCGGCACCAGGCCTGATATTTTTCAAGGAGTTGGACTTTACATATTGTAGTGCACTAGTTTGTTTTTCTCAAGCTATTTCATATGACCAATATGATGAATGTGGTTTTTGATTCTTTTGTTGGATTGAACTTGCTTAGGAGTTAAGAGTAAAACACATCAATTGGTTTTAAGTGATAAAACTTGGATGATAGTTGGCCACCAACTTCATCACATATGATGACAGAAAAAAGTATTGTGGATACATCAAAGGTACAATTAATTACAGCCTCTACCAATTTCTCCATCTGATAATTTCAAGCTTGTTAGCTACAGTGAAAGATTTCTACAGGCTTTGCAATTATTGCTTGTGTGGAAGATACAACATTTACTAGGTATTTAAAGAAAAAACCTTTTGCGACACTTTTCTATTTGTGAAGTTGATTATGTTGCATCTGCCTCTTTCTTCATGCAATTTAACTTCAGAACTTGTCGAAGATGTTATGCACGTCACAAGAGACACCTCCTATATTCATTGTGACTCTAATTAACATTGCTTTGGGAGAAAACCTACATCATATGAATGAGCACATCGATACAATATGCCATTTTGTTTAGAAGCATCAAGAAAAAAGAAGTTGAAATCACTTATATCAAGACTATGATCAAGTCACTGACATATTTACTAAGGCATTAAAGTATTAAATCTTTGCAAGATGCATCCGTTGATTCTGGATTCATCAACATAAAACAAGTTTATGTTCATGAATTAGTATATCTGGATTGTTGGATCCGTAGTATTATATGTAGTTCACATACAAGTAGTAATACATTTAGGGGTCATTTGGTTCAGTTCTGGGATATCGGTATTAGCCAATTATTACTACTTGTATATGAACTAAATATAATACTACGGATCCAACAATCCAGATGCATCCGTTGATTCTGGATTCATCAACATAAAACAAGTTTATGTTCATAAATTAGTATATCTGGATTGTTGGATCCGTAGTATTATATGTAGTTCATATACAAGTAGTAATACATTTAGGGGTCGTTTGGTTTAGCTCTGGGATATCCCATGGGATTATAATTCTGCGATATCCCATGAGATTATTTATCCTGCCTCCTATATGGAATAGCTAATACCATCATTTTGGTATAAAATTTATACCGGTATTAGCCAATTAATACCCACAAACTAAACATGGGATAACTATAAATCCCAAATTTTAAACCTAGGTTTAATATCCTTATCCTGTAATCAAACGACCCCTTAAAGAGTTAAGAGAGGTATGGTCAAAGTATTGGGTGTAAGCTACATCTTACAAAGAAATTAAGAATAATTTGAGCAAAAAGCCAAGCAAGAAGAAGAAATATTGCCTCTAATATTTGTGTTTTTCCTCTAAATCTTCTCCTTTTTACCACTATGGCCTCCACCAATTTTCTATACAAAATGCAATTAGGTCCTCCCTAAAGTGTCTCTGTCTAACATATCTACCTTAATATATAGATAGAAATAAACAGCTTAACTACCTCAAGTTACAGTCAAACAACTCCTATCAACATCTCTATAGTATCACAATTTTCCAATACCTAAGCTGACTGCAATTACAAAACAAATTCCCCCAAAGCAACAATCAAAATCATCTTTTAATGCTTTCCAACAACAATCTATTCGGACAACGGAATCTGTTCAGAAAGACCATAATCCGCTAAATATTTCCAGCAATTTATGTATAGCATCTCGACTTATATCTTTCAAAGCTAAGCCAATCTGTGCAATTTTGATGAGACAAAAGTTATCTTTAATAGCAGAAAGGGAATTAAGCAATTGAGAACTCACAACAAATTACATCGTACAGCCAACAAACATAACAAATAGGATTAAAAAAAAAGTGCACCCCGATGCACAAAGCATTCCACGTTTACAGTCCAGGAAGGTAAAGATTAGCAGCTTTGTGTACGCCCAAAACACGATATAACCATTAGATTCTTAAACCCTAAAACACATTTTAAGTATCATATACAACAATACTATCTTTATTAAGAAGAAGTAACTATATATTGAAAGCTTATATTTTAAACTCTAACCTGTATATGAAATTTTTTTAGCTCCATAGCTGAGAAGCATTTGAAGTTCTACTCTTTACTAGTAATTTTCTTCATTTCCCTCTGCAAAAAAACTACATAAAATATTACCTGTAGACACACGAAAATAAGCAAATCCCTAGTTCAAAGGGATCCAAGATTCATCAACTTAATTAAAACAATCAGAGTTAATATACAGAAAAAAGACTGTTTTTTTATGGTTAAATATCCAAAAGAAAGACAGTCAACTAAAACAAGCAGATTACCATTACCAAAAAAAAAAGGGAAAATGAAGAGAAAGGAAAGAAGAAACTAGACAGTTCTAGAGAAGAGGGAAAAAGTACTATTCTACTTGTTTACCAATTTTATTTATTTTTGGAAGAAAAAAAATAAGTGCAGTTTTCGGTTAAATAAGAACAGTAACAGGGTTACCTTCCAAATCCATGTCCGTCCTCTCCATCAGACATAAGTACATAAAAAGTCACAACTAATAATATTATTTAATTGGGGGTATCACTAAAAAATACAGTATCTAGGTTTTTACAAAAAAAAAAAGAAAAAAAAAAGATCCCCAAAAACGTCAAACAGAAAAACTACTAGTACTTCTTTTTTTCCTGATCTACTACTGTATTTTTTGAAAACCCATTTAAAATCTTGTAAAAATATGAACTTGCAAAGATACAAGATGATATATATGTAAAAAAAAAAAGGGCAGCGATAATCCATAACCTATCCTAATATAAAAACTATGATTCGAAATCGAAATCTACAAATCATGAAAGAATTTTACTGTTGTTGAGCTCCCTTCAATCGGAGTCAAATCAACAAACAGGTCAAGCGTATGGAGTAAATGTCATATTTGTATGGTGAGTGGAATAAAAGAAGAGGGAATTCAAGAAAGAGATACACGCGTTCACTGCCATTTCAGCAACGGTCAAACTGTATCAGCGTGATCTATAAGTTACTGATTCGAACTCTAAAATCAGTTATCGATACTTGTATCAAGTAGTACGGTTCTTTTTTTGATCCTATGCGGATACTTTGTACTTTGAGCTGCCCTTACTTGTATTTTTTCTACACAGAGTATGATAATCTCTACGTGGTTTCGTGTTCAAACTCTGAAAATAAATCTAAACTTTTCATACATGAATTTAAATTAATCAGACTAGTAAATTTGAATCACTCAACTATAAAAGGAAAAGAAAAAATCAATATGATCAGAGAATGAAAAGAAATCAAACAAGGGAAACAAAATAAAACTAAAACCATTGTGAGCTAAAAAAAAACAAAGGAAGGCAAGAGAGGGAAGAAAACAAATAGGTGACAGAAAGAGAAGTGAGCACACGCAAATAATATAAACACAAAGGTATACACTCTATACAATTGTGTGCGTGTGCTCACTCTCTTCTGTCAGTCTGTCATCTCTCTGTTCCTCCCCCATTGCTTTCCACCATTAAAAGAGAGAGCCTTTACTTTCACAAGATTCTGTATATATATATAAATATAATCTGTCAGATCTGAAACCAAAAGATAATACCCCTTTATAGAAAGAAAAAAATACATGACCAGAATTCAGATCTCTATTAGATTGTGTTAATGATACCCTCAGTCTCAAGAGGAAAAGTAGCCGAAAAGAAACCCTTTTTTTTTTTTTTTGACTATTTCTGTTTTATTTTTTTGGTTTCCCACCCGTATTGAAGCCCGACTATATTCTGATTCGCACCGAGTAGGGCTCCATTCGAAAGGTAGCGCTCCTGCTAAAAAAAAATTTTCATACCCAAGACTCAAAACCTCTGATTAAGAAAGAAGTAGCCCGCCCCATCCACTTCACCAAATCCTTTAGTGTCTCTGTGTTGTGTTTTAATTCTAACAATCATGTTGGGGTCTCATTAGCATCTCACATGCAGTCAAAAATATAGGCTATAGCATCTGTGACCGGACATATATCATATTAAACACAACTGGTTAAAAATTGGGGGGGGGGGGGTGGGGTGAAAGGAAGTCAACAGGCGGCATTTAATTTGGACATACATATTGTTTGTCAATACTCGATATTGGTTTTAATTTATGTATCTTACTTCTTTTCTTAATCTGTTTTAAAGATAACAAAAAATTTAATAAAATAATTTTATAGCTATACCATCCTTTGTTTCATTTTTCCATCGACAAATAAGTAGGTATTTGGACATAAAAATTGTGAAATTTCGAAAAAAAGAAAAAGTGAATCTCTTATTCAAGTTGAAAATCGTATTTGAAAATTAGAGTTGTGTTTGGACATAAATACAATTTGGAATTATTTTTGAATTTTTGTGAGTGCTTTGAAGTGAAATTTTTTTGAAAAATAACTTTTTGGAGTTTTTTAGATTCTGAAAAATTCTGAAATTAAACTTCAAGGGAAAATTAAAATTTTCATGGCCAAATAATAGTTCCAAAAAGAGTAAAAACAATTCAAATAAAAAAAGAATCTTTTCTTATGGCCAAACGGGCCATAAATATTGTCCAAACGGGAATTAATGGTTGTTACTATGTCACGTGGCTGCTAGTACAAATGCCTCTTTTCCCCTACTTCTTGTCTTTGGTACACAATTCGTTTGACAAAGTACAACACAAAATTCACACAATTCGTCTAATGACAAAGTACAAATCTCGCTTGAGCACATAAAGTAGCGTTTGAACATAAATTTAATTGAAACTTGAAAAAATAATTTTCGAAGTTGTGTTGAAAAATAATTTTTGAAAATTGAAGTTATGTTTGGACATATATTTTATTTGAAGACAAAAGTATAAATTTTGTGAGCGGAAAAAAAAATTTCACTCAAAAAACGACCAGTTATTGGGAACTTAAAGATTTTTGATTTCCCAAAAAAAGATCGTATTTATAAACAAACAACGTTTTCAATTTTTTTTTTTGAAAAAGTAAAGCCAAAATCTACGACCAGAGCTAAGAAAAAGTAAATGAAAATCTTGAATTAAAGGTTCGACTTTCGAGTATGAAATTCTACTCCAACTTATTTGATTGCTATGTTTGTAATCTATCATTTATACTTATTTAGTATTTCTTTTAACACACATTACACCACATGATATAAACTAAAATTACTAAATTCGAATAAATTCATATGTTAAGTGCTAATCTACCTTTGAAATAAAGATAAATGCCGCCTAACTAATGCAAAAGTTGGTTTTGACAATGCAGTAACTAACCATTTATAGACAAAAAAAAATTAAAAATAGTAATTCAAGTATTATAATCTCCTCAATATTAATCACTTTTTAAGAATTCCTTCATGGTAATCTTCGCTTAAATGATCCCTCCATTACTACCTATTCATGGTAGAGATAAAGGTGAAATTTTAGCTTCTAAATTTCAATTATTTGAATATATCATCTTCGAGTATTATTCGTATTGTTTCGTGTGTGAGTCAACGAGAATTAATTATTAGGGATAGACCAAACTGATAAAACAAACGTAGCCACAGATATATGAATCAAACTACTTCAAAGTTTTTGTGTGTGTGTGTGTGTTTTATTTTTTATTTTTTTGCATTTATAGTGTGATTTGACTTTTAGGAGGACATTGACCGTTAGATTAGGGTGCAAGATTTATGTCTCCCCTGATGAAAGGACATATTCAAAAGTTGGAAACTACGCTAACGTCTGACCATAGATTCTCAAACTTGTTTTAAAAAAATTTATTTGGGTGAAGTTTGGTTTGAAGATGAAAATTTGTTTGGACATGAGTTTTCAAAAGATATTTCACCTTTTTAAAAAAAACATGAAACATGACTTATACTCACAAGTTCTAAAAACTATCACAAATACCTAATAATACTTTAATCAATAACATTCATTATATTATCGCAAACCATAGTCCCGAACATAAATAAATTTTGTACAAAATTATCATATTCATAATGAACTACATAATATACTATTAGATGACCGAGAAAACAAAACAGCATTGTTACAAAATAATAAATGGTGAGCTCTTTTATAAAATACAAAAGTTTGGAGTAATTTTTAAAAAATATAATAATAATATTTTGGGTCAAATATGTATTTACCAAAAAAAACAAATATATA